CACCTCTGGAATATGAAAAAAGGCTGTGTTTTTGTTTTACCGATTTTGATGGAACATGTCGAGTTGCAATAAAGACTTTTCATGAGGTTGTACAAGTTTCCTCTATATTCGTTTTAGCAGCTTATAAAACAATCCTTCGTGCCAAACAGAGTCAAACGCTTTGCGAAATCTACGAAACAAGCGTAGACTTTTTCCTTGTGATAATGCACATATTTATCTATTAGGGTCCTTAGAGTGAAAACATGGTCTGCAGTGCGGTTTTCAGGCAAAAAGCCAATTGGGAATTATGTAATATCTTATTTTCCTCAAAATACAAGTGAAGTCTTCGATTTAAAATAGAACAGAACAGTTTTCCAAGGCAACTAGAAACACATATGCCTCTGTAATTTGTTGGATCACTCTTGTCACCAGATTTGTAAATTGGGGGTTATGAGGCCTTGACACCAAACATCTGGCATTTTTCGGATTGTAAAATGAGGTTAAAAGTTTGACATAGACAGGCATTAGTGGTTCGAGGCTTGCTTTGATCATTTCATTTCGTATTTTGTCAACAAATGGTGATTTCTTATTTTCAATTTCTTCGCCGCTTGACGTATTTCCCTCTCAGTTATCTCATAATCGAGATGGTTAAACTGTTCCTTTTCGTGTTCTAAAAATTTAGTTCCTATGGATTTCATGTTCATGCGTGGAATTCGTCGGGTCAATAGAATGCAGAGATTTGATATGGTGAAGCCATGATTCTTCCGAGATTGGGGCAGGAACATTTTTCGTTGAAAGTGTCGCTCATCAATTTAAACAATTCCAAAATGACGCCTTGTCAGGATTTAAAAAGCTAGTTCGTCGAGTTGTAATGTTTTTTCTTTGTGGAATCCTCTCTTCTTTGTGCCTAGGAGCTTTTTGTAATCATTCAAGGTTTTTATGATATCTTTCCGCACTTCGGAGTTGAGGGGTCACGGTGCTTTTTCATTTGAGACTTTCGTAATTCATGCCTTTTCAAGCGACATTCACAGTCGAACCATTTCTTGTTGGATGATTTCTTAATACGCTTATAAGTTTTCTTAGCTTTAATTTTTAGGCATAGCTTGGAGCTCTCAGTTAGAATTTTCATAGCGTTTTCTAAGGAGATATTCACATCTTCGGTGTTTTCTCTCCATATATTGTCTAATTAAATTTGGATTGGTTCCGTGCGCAGTGCGTTTTGAATTTTAAATGTGAGTCAACTTCCAGCAAAATTGCCGTGGTAATTTTGATAATCTAATGCTACTATTGGAAGTGTGCATTTCGTCTCCAATTAACCTGGTGTTAAGATTGAGCCATGCCACGATGGCACTATGATCCGATAAATAAGATGGCTGTTTAACAACAAAATTTGCAACGTTGAGAAATGTACACTGATCACATATTAGATAATCAATAACGCTCGTTCCGTTTTTTCCATGAAAAGTGGGTCTGCCTAGGGTATCTCCATTAACTCTGCCATTAACTATTCTTAGGTCAAGGGTTTTACAAATTTCCAACAGCCGTTTCCCATGGCTATTTAAAACATTATGAAAACTGTTTCTTTGAGTTGGCTGGAAAGCAGATTCCGACTGATCATTACTAATTCTACTGTTTCCCTCCTTTGAGACAGTATCAGAGTATTTCAGTTCTCGAGTTAAAGTCACCCATGAGAATTATTGATCCTTTCGAAGAAAAAACGTACTATGTCTTGTTCTAGCTGATCAAAAATTTCGTTATCGAATTTTTTTGAGTTACAGGGGGTATATAGACACCACAGACGTAAATATTCTTCACTGAATTTAGAAAACGATTCTCAATTTTAAACCAAATAAAATGCTGAGTTGTTTTAGTGATGGAAATGTTTTGTGGAATTTGTTCTTATAAAATAAAGCGATTCCTCGGAGTTACGCCCACCTCTCCCCCGACTGATTTGGTGTGGGACAGTGAAAAAAAGATTTGTATCCACCAATTTCCAGATTACAGCAGTTGCCAATTTCTGTTAACAATATAAAATCAGGTTATTAATAACACTCAAAAAAATCAGTATTATCTAACTTATTTCAAGATATTTCGAAAAGGCCATTAATATTCAAGCGCAAAAGGACAATGTGCTTGAAATATCAGGACTATCTTCGGTGTCCGTGATTGTATAGAAAATAATAAATGGATTACTCTTTATACTGGTATAAAGTTTTATCATTAATACTTAATTCAGTGTCAAGGGTAAGATGAAATTGTTCATACAAATGATTTTATAAAACGAAAAGGATATGATTTCCTGAGGCATTGCTGAATCCGTTAATTTGTTGGAGGGGCGAGTTTCTTCACTTGCGGTTTCCATTTTAGCGGCCTGTGGAAACGTTTGATGCGGTGTTTTGGAGTATTGATGCGATATAGTTGGTGGCGGAGCTGGGAGTATCTGGTCCGGCAGGGTTTGCATAGGAAGCTGGAATGCTTTATTTGAGGCATTTGGTTCATGATATAGTGAATTTTGCAATGGTGTTGGAGGTATTCGTTGTGGAAAGTTGTGGTGTGACAAATGGTAACGGCGGAGGTTGAGTTTGAAGAAGGTGAGGCCAACAGGAGCACTTGAGGGTGGTGTGTTCTACGGCATTGCTGTATGATGTGTGATGTAATAGTGGCTTGGGACCTTGGGAAGAAGTCAGTTGAGTTTGTGAGGATCTTTGTCTTTGGAAGCACATTGTATTAGAAGGAACTGTAGGTTTTGGTCTGGCGACCGCAGGTGTGTCTA